CTGGATTGGGGCTCCCGGACTCAAACCACTGGCGGTTAATGAAATAGGCAGAAATGTCCCAATTGCGCAGTCAGTGGCGCTCGTGCATCAGAACTATCGCTCTCAATACGTAGCTACCAAATTTCCGAACAAACTGAACGTGCTTTCGTCTCCAAAGTTTATGGCATATCCCATTCACCTGTTTTCCGGCGAGCAAAAGTGTAGCAGTTGGAACCAACGTGCCTATTTTACACATTTTATAGCTGATAAACTGAAACGGAATTGTGAGTACTGGATTTTTTCGTAGTCGTAATTCGGTCACAGGAGACACTCTAAATCCACAATGATAGTACAAAAAACGGTTTGGATCCGCACCTTTCCAAGAGGGGCCGGAATATCATTTCAAATTTCTGAGCGGCATAACAGCAACTATGTGGGATTTACTGTGATTTTCATCAGATATGAATCGGAGCTATGGATGTGCCAATAGAGCATTCTATGGGATCTGTTGTGGTCGGCTGTACTAGCAGTCGCTTAGTTCATCAAAGCTACAGAGCAGACAGGGGGCCCTTCTCAACACCCGTGACTCCTGTTCTGGTGACACCAAGCGATATAACACGGTCCAGAAAATCGGCTCCATGGGGCTTCAGAAGAACGTGCTGCAGCATAAGAAAATGGCCGTCCTTAATATAATCCTCGGAGGGGACGTTACCGATTCTCGGAAGACCAACTCACAACCAGAATTACCCCACCAGTTGTTCCCCCCGCCTCGAAAACTCCAAGTTGTGTCCAGGTTTCAGAGTCCGAAATGGCTAAGCATTCAAGGGGAGAACATTCTGGTCTAAACATCCACGGTTTAAGTACAAGCACCGGCATCTCGACTGCTCTTGTCTAGGCATCGGAAACCTAGCGTTAACCCAATTCTCATGCGCACTTCTCGTTGCATGGCATCTCGGAACCGAAATAGTGTTGGTGCATAACAAATACTTATTCCATGTTTTCCCGNGTGTTGGTGCATAACAAATACTTATTTCATGTTTTCCCGGTCACCAGTTTATAGAAAGCGCTTCAGATAGTAATGCGACGAGCACCAGAAGGTACGCCTTTCAATTTCGTCAGGCTTATCATCAATCTCAATTTTAAAGCTGAATTCATGATTCCAGTATCTTAGGGAAACACTAAAAAGTCAGTATCGCAGTCGGTGATCGCATTCCGTGTTTGCAAATATACTAGGGAGACAAATTAACAGTGATTGTACCTCTTACGATTTTTCGGGTCGGATATTTCCTCGGCATATTCCTTGAAGAGCTTACGGAATTCTGGGTCTCCAAAGGCTTTTTTCAGTCTTCCGACCTCCTCCGACGTCAACTGGAGATCGCTCAGCTTATCGGAGACTTCGCGCGCCATCCCGAGAAAGCACGAGATAGCAACCACAAATTGTTGTTAGCGCATTAAAACCAGGATCACGTAATCACGGATTTACACACAGCGCCGAGGCTTTTGCACAAGATTCCTGGGTCGGTTTCATTCTTATCGTTCGGTAGCTGCCGTTGAGTTGAAAGACACGAGCGAAAAAAGATGTAGGTTGTCAGCGCGTGGCAATGAGCTTGCCAGGAAGAGGACTCGCATAAATTAGTGTCTCATAATGCTTTCAACTGGATTCTACATCGGGAGTGGACAACCGTCGGAGGAAGGATATTCCACGCAGAAACTAACCGAAAGGAGAAAAATTTTGCCTCGTCAAAGGATGCGTTCTGAGCTGGAAAAACTTCCTACCATGTCCTGTAGTGTTTCTAATCCGTTGTCTCATTTACCATTCTTCCTTAAACAATAATTTGTAACTATCGTTCACATTGTATCATGACGCTTGTTTTAATGTTACGAATACACAATTTCCCGGGGCATACTGCTGGCTTCTTGCTGGACGAGCGTATTTACGCTCNCCTTGACCAGCACCACTCTTTCAGAGGTCCCACGTTGATCGTTTTTTGTATTTGATAGCTGCTTCTGATTCGGTTGACAGTCAGCAACTTTGAGTGCCTAGTGACCCTTCCAAATATCTGTCTATTATTAGGGCAATGTATCCGAACTCCTGTGGGTGGGTATGAGTATACGGGAAGCTCCCACCAGCGGTGTAAGAAAAGGCTGTCCTCTTTCACCTTTCCTCAATATTGTTTTTGAAATCGTGCTAGAAATTCCTCTGGTTGTCTTCGAAACCTCGGGAGTCAAAACACTCCCAGGATGTTCCCTCACAGACATTGAGTATGCAGACGATATTGCACGGTTCGGCATGAGCTTCACACTTGCAAAGTGTAAAGTGCTGATACATGACTGGGTGGGGTCAAACACACATCTCATGCTGAATGCGAGCCAATCGACGCGGTAGCCAATCGACGCGGTAGATAGAATTTTTTTACCTGGGCAGCTGTGTACGTTCCGGTAGATGGGCTAGAGATGAGATAATTCCTCGAAACTGAAAGGCCAGTGCAGTTTTTACCAAATTCCAACACTTATGGCGCCGCAGTGGCGTCAGTTTGTCTGTCAAGGGAAGAATTTACACTGCGGTGGTGCAATCAATGCTGTTTTATAGATCAGAAACGTGGCCCCTGCGCGCAGAGGACATACGAAAGGTGTCAGTGTTTGACCATCGGTGTCTCCCAAGAATTATTCAGTTCTGGTGAGAACATCGGATTAGCAATGCCGAAGTGCACCAGATGGTCTTAGGAAGAAGGAACTCTCTCGCGATAGATGAGTTATTCAATCTTCATGAGCTGCGTTGTTTGGGACATGTACTCCGCATTCCAGAAGACCGTCTGCCTCACGGAGCTGGTTCTCCAAGTCCTGCATGAATGGAAGAGACCAAAAAGTGGACAGTGTATGACCTGACAAGGAAGTACGAAAACACTAACCAGTAAACTTAATCGGGTAGGCGACTGCCACTTTCCTGGATTGGGGCTCCCGGACTCAAACCACTGGCGGTTAATGAAATAGGCAGAAATGTCCCAATTGCGCAGTCAGTGGCGCTCGTGCATCAGAACTATCGCTCTCAATACGTAGCTACCAAATTTCCGAACAAACTGAACGTGCTTTCGTCTCCAAAGTTTATTGTATATCCCATTCACCCGTTTTCCGGTGATCAAAAGTGTAGCAGTTGGAAACAATGTGCCTACTTTACACATTTTATAGCTGATAAACTGGAAATGAATTGTGCGTACTGGATTCTTTTGTAGTCGTAATTCGGTCACAGGAGACATTCTAAATCCACAATGACAGTACAAAAAAACGGTTTGGATCCGCACCTTTCCAAGAGGGGCCGGAATATCATTTCAAATTTCTGAGCGGCATAACAGCAACTATGTGGGATTTACTGTGATTTTCATCAGATATGAATCGGAGCTATGGATGTGCCAATAGAGCATTCTATGGGATCTGTTGTGGTCGGCTGTACTAGCAGTCGCTTAGTTCATCAAAGCTACAGAGCAGACAGGGGGCCCTTCTCAACACCCGTGACTCCTGTTCTGGTGACACCAAGCGATATAACACGGTCCAGAAAATCGGCTCCATGGGGCTTCAGAAGAACGTGCTGCAGCATAAGAAAATGGCCGTCCTTAATATAATCCTCGGAGGGGACGTTACCGATTCTCGGAAGACCAACTCACAACCAGAATTACCCCACCAGTTGTTCCCCCCGCCTCGAAAACTCCAAGTTGTGTCCAGGTTTCAGAGTCCGAAATGGCTAAGCATTCAAGGGGCGAACATTCTGGTCTAAGTATCCATGGTTCAAGTACAAGCCCCGGCATCTCGACTGCTGTTGTCTAGGCTTCGGAAACTTGGCATTAGCCCAATCCTCATGCGCACTTCTCGTTGCATGGCATC